TTTGCTTTATTCAGAATTCAACTGACTCTTGTTCAAGTCAAGTCTCAAGGATGCCTTTCTCCTGCCAGATGATGATCCAGCAGTGGCAAAAGAGCTCAATCGTCGATTGAGCCAACGGAACAAAATGGATACCAAGGAAGACAAGAAGAAAAAGAACACCGATGTTGACAGCAAAGACACCAGCAAGTGGCAAACAACGCACCAATCTCTGGCAGAGACACGCTACTCGGTTTCAACTTACTTACTTGTTTCACAACAACCCAAATTATGTATTAGCACCAGGAGGACAATAACTATAACTATAACTATAACACAACTTAACTTAACTATGAAATAGCTTTCAACTTTGATGAAAAATGAAAACTCAAAACTTCACTGTTCATTGCTTGTCATGTGTGAGGCGGCTTACAATGGCCATTGACTGTGCCTCCTGATTTGGAAGCAAATGAATGGTTTATGTCATTGAGCGCCAGAGAGCAGGAGGCAAGTTCTCCACTGTGTGCTTTGTAAACTATTGCTGTACTCAGACTCAAATTCAAAACATTAATGATGTCAGGTATATTTATTCGTGCTGAAGAACCAGAAGACATTGGCGGATTCTGGCAAATCACAGATTCGCTTTTGTGATTTGTACCACAGCGCAAATCGCACTGCTACGTCCACTCATGAGGCAATGTTGATGTTTTTTTAATTCATTCTTCAGATGTTTACCTGGTCTGTTGTCAGGTGTTACCTTGTGTTCTTCCTTCATCACGTTTCATGGATATTGAGAGAGGAAGGCTGCTGATGGGTCACTTGGCCCGATATGGATCCAAAGTCAGTTGCGATTTTGACTTGCCTATTTAATGATTGATAATACTGTACTGATACTGATAATTTGGTAACTTCCATCCGACTATAAATAACTAACAACTGATCACTAACTTGTGATTGAGGCCGCGAAGCGCTTGCACTTCAAGGACTTCAATACCCACGCCATATCTTGGACCGTTTTTCAGAATCACAGCTGTACGACATCGCTGGCAATGCGTGACTTAAATTACACTTATTGGCAATGGTGTTGTTTAACTTTAAACTTAATTGACATTGAAAGTTAAAACAAGTAAAGCATGGTTAACTAAACGCAGCAATGAGTGTGAAGCAAGTGAGGTATTCATCTACTGTATGCTTGGCTATGCTATTGGCGGGATTGATCGAGCTAAAGTTTGCCACAGCCAGCGAGAGTGAAGAGGAACTTGAAATTTCTGATTTGGTCTCACAGTTTCTAGGAATAATTGAATTGAACTCATAATCGATTCTAAATGCTGATAACAAACCAGGTTTTTGATGTGACCGTGACTTTGTTGTTTCACTTTCAAACCAAAGAAACAACACAAAACTACCAAAAGAAAAGAAAAGAAAAAAACCGCCCAGGCTACAGAAACATCAGTGAGCGTGGCAAGCCTGAAGCTATGTCACTGAAGCAGTACGACTCGAGAATTTAAGGGACTCATTTCAACGTCAACAGAGAATAGTGCAGTGTACCGAGCGCAAAGAATTGAGTCGGTTCATGCTGCGGCTTTGTTTGCATTTTGCAATGAAGCTGATTGGGGCACGTGACTGGATTGTTTAGATGTGTTGTCTCAATTGTTGTAGTTGTTTCTGATATTGTGATAGCTGATCTGAGTCACTCTGTGCGTTAAGTTTCACTTCTTTTAATGGGTCTGCTACCTGCCAGGTGCTTGACTGGAAAAATGTAGCCACACACTATCGCATTGCTTGTCAAACCGTACAACCGTACACCATATCGCAGGCATGACTGTACAACTGTACCGTACGGTTGCGCGACTGCTCGTACAACTGTGCCGCACAAGCGTCCATGTAATCGCACAAGCTGCCGTACAAGCCATCGTACATACTCCAACATAGCCACATACACATGCCTCTTGAATTTAGATAAGTCATGTCCAAAGAGTCGGCGCGCAGGAGACCACTCCTTGCTGTGTTTCTCTCCTGCAAACGATCGCGTTCCTTGCCAAAGCACGCGCAACTCTAGATCTTGTCCAAGTGTCCTATACTCTGATTTGCGCGGTGTTCCAACACCCCCGAGGTCCCTGCTTGCTCCAGGTCAGTGAGTGATTATGGGTCCTTGGTTTTCCTAACACCCATTGAGCTGGTGAGCGCAGCCACGCACACGTCCAATTTCATTCTTGGTGACAACCACTTCACGGAGGCTAATTCCTAAACCCTTCGCGCCAGCAGCCTCGCAGTCACCAACGCTGGGCCTCAACATGCGCACGCTCGACTTTCCGAATAGCTAATGCCTCACATCCAAGACTTGCCAAAAGTTTGACGATGTCTCCGCGATTGTCTACTCCGCGGTCCATGGTCACCTGTTTGGGCTAACCTGCGACCTGGGCTGAGCTTGAAGTTGAACTGTGCTCCAACAGGACGATCTCCTGCACAACGCCCTTCGCCTGGGCTATCCATGCTCCCTGGCAACGCCAACTGACATCCTGATCCAGCATCAGGGATTCACGTGCCTGCAGGTGTCAACTGCAGAAAACCGCACCTTCAACAGACATGCGTTCACCAGACTTCTCCGTTGACAAACCTTTGTCAAACGCAGACAAAGACATGGAACTGGCGTCTGGTTTGGGCAACACAAGGGCTTGACGTACCATGAGGTCAATGATACTACCTCTGCGGTCAAGAGGTCCACCTCCTAACAGTAACCCCCGCCCTCCCCCTTGATCAAGTTCTGACCCAAATAATCCATAAAATACGGAAAAATTGGGTTCAAATCGAAATACAAAGAACATAAAGAGGAAAGAAAAAGAAAATGAAAGGAAAGGAAAGGAAATTCAGCAAGCATGAAGGATAAACTCCCACAATGGAAAGGACCAGGTGCTGAGGGAAGGGGTTTGTTGTTGTCGTTGTCGTTGTCGTCATTGTTGTTGTTGTTGTTGTTGTTGTGGTTGTCGTTGTCGTTGTGGTTGTTGTGGTTGTCGTTGTTGTTGCTGTTGTTGTTGCTGCTGTTGTTGTTGTTCTGTGTGTGTTGCGCGCGCCTGGAGCTATCAGCTTGGATGAACCTTGGTTTGGAAGCAGCTGAAAAGCAGAGCCCAGAAATATTTGGCATGACGTTGGGTTCGTTTTTGCCGGTTGATATAAATTAGGAAGTCAACATTAGCAAGCTGTTGTCAGACTTCTTGGATTGGGTACCTCACACACACACACTGGAGGCGACCGTGAATCGAATGAAGCGATTCTTCGACCCATTGGAAGTGACCAAATCCCTTCAGTCAAGCCACAAAGAGTGCAAGGAGGATGCCTAGACTGCTCGTTGGAGGACCTGCATGCATCTTGCGCGCGAGACAACACTGAAGCTGTCACTGGCATTGTCTGAATTCGCAGTCGGAGAAGAACTTGTTCCACGCGGTCTTGTGGGAGAAGGGATCCTGTATCCCACATAGACAAGCCCGACAGACACAGCATCTTCTGATTCATCTTCCTTGTTGTTTTGATTTTCATGATGTGGTAGTGGTGGTCGTCCTTCAAATACACAGACTCCATCATCACTCAATGCAATATATCATCCAACGCTCTGCTGCTGCTAGCGCCGCGTTTAAACAGCTTATCTTACAGCTCGGGTCGCCGGCCCCTCTAAATAACCACATCTCCACTTCAATAATACGCACCGCAAGGGTTTTCCTTTTCCTCGTCCCTTCTGTCTCAACTGCCAAGTCCTGTACGCGCTGAAGTCAGAAGTCGCAGATGTCTGTGGCGCCAGGGCACAAGTCACGAAGGTAGATCCTTCCATGGTGCTCTAAGATCACTGCAGCAAAGGCCTGGATGCAGTGCTGCTCCTGCTTGTTCAATCCAGCAGTCTCGAATAGAAGCTCTCACCATACAGGCATCAGAATCTTGAACTTGCCTGAAGCTGGTTACACTTTCACCTACCAGTTGACTCAACGGTCCGATCACCTGAATAGCTCTTTTGCATGAAGATGGAAGATGATAGTCTTCAGCTTGCCGATCAACTGTTCAATTCCATTTTCCTGCAGCAACAACCAAGTTCTGAGCCGCCAACCATGCATCACCTCTGAAGCCTTCTTGCACCAACGCAGCCCGTAGGCTCACACCTTCCGAAGCCACATACCCCATGCTCTTCGGTGAGGCAAAGGCATCGGCATCGGTACCAAGTTCTCCTTCCTCTTCTCCTCCTCCGGACACCAACGTGTTCGTCCAGAGTCGACGATCCAGACTTGCTAGCCTGGTCCTTGAGCTCAGCCATCTTCTTCTTGATCTTCTGGCTTATGAGCTCCATACGCACTCTCATCCGGAATTCCCATTCATGTCTGCTGCATAGATGTAGGAGCCACTCTTTATCTCCGCCGTGGGTAGAAGATCTGAAGCGCAATGCTGCAAGGGACATTGCTCCAGTCACACACAATCAACCAAGCTGCAACAAACACGCACATTCCTGGATCTGTGAGCTGCTGTCTGGGCTGGGAAACACTCTCCACCACCGGCTCGGCTACCGGAATGAATCTGGACACGATCCGATTGTCTTCGGATCCCATAGCTCAAGGGCCAGCCCAGTCGGCAAGTACTTGCTTGTCACACCCTGGCAGTTGTACATGGTGCAAATTGCTGGATAGAATCACACTTAGCTTTGGTTTTGAACTGGCACTTGCGTTTGATAGGTATCTCAGGCAATCTTCTCCACCGGCACGGCATATCAATTGCTGGTGGAACCCCATACCACAGCTGAATCGGTTTTGCAATTCAATGACATTGTTCGGAACATGTTTGCCTCCCAAATCTATATAACTGACTCAGTGAAGCATGTATATGTCCTTGACCATTCCATCGTTATTCTGTTAGCGTTAAGGCTGTTGGTACGTCGACACAGACCGATCATCTTAAGTGACAAACGCTTCATTAAGTTGCAAAGCCAAAAAAGTCTCCCGGCACTGGATGTCTAAGTACCAGTAACAAAGCCAACAGGAACCACACTCCTCGTTAAGCATTCGCATTGCAGTCTGCACAGCTCTCGATTGGCCTCAGCCCACATATGCCCCCAAGAGTCCATTTGCTCCAGTACCACACTCTTTAAAGTGAAACCCTGAACTGTTACGGTTGAGAACTTTAAGATCCTTTCATTGTTGCCCTTGGGCCATTGAGAAAGCCATATTCCTGAATCTTCCAGCTGCAAAAACACAGGAAAAAAGCTTTCAAGGTTAAGACCGTTTGAAGACGGGGCAGCGTAGCCAGCCTGACACCATCTTGCCGAGTGGAGGTTAAAGAAAGCAAGTGTCACAGCTGAGTCTAGCATTTGCTTTCAGCACTTGTTGAGGTTCATACAATCTCTGCTGCACTTCACAGACTCCGTGCCATCGTGGAGGGACAGTAACCATTTGTTGAAGGACAATAGCGATATTCCCCAAAAAAATAAAGGAGCGCCCACCACGCCTTTTGCGCACCATCGTTACTAATGGCCTCAGTAATGCAGGCGTCTTTTTGGATGCATCTTCTGCTTACGGAAAGTGCTGGCACCTCTGAAAACGAACCTCCAAATGCAGTCTCGTGCTCATGTTGCCAAGAGCAAAAGTGCTTGGAGCATGCACTCTGGGCCTACCCACATACCCCTTGAGAGCCGCATATGCCAGGTTGTTGTCGCCTACATCCTCGCAAGCCAAGTGCTTTCACTAGAGGTGCTCTTTCCAACAGAAAGAATTCTATCCTTTCCAAAACCGAGATCGATCCTCTCCAAAACCTCCTCTGAATCCTTCGAAGCCTGTTCTCCGACCTACTTCAAACTCTTTGCTTCTGGATCAGCTGCAATAGTTTACTGTGGCTGCCCTATTCATCTACATTTAGAAAAAGATAAGTCTAAACGATGTATAAGTATGATTTCTTAGTTATATAGATTTATTGACTTATTGTTTATCTGTTATTTGTTCCAAAGCTTTGACGCACCGAGCCTCCTGTTTCTTCAGCACAAGTGCGGCCACAGAGTCTCCGAAAACTGTGCCATCAGCGCCTGCATCAAAGGGCCGTACCTGGCAGTGTAGTGACTGCACACAATCTGAAAAAAGAAACTAACATGTTTATAGATAGATAGATAGATAGATAGATAGATCCTGGATTGAACAAAGTCAAAGGAATCAAAAAAAAAAACATTGTCGTAAACAAACGTTAGAAAGGAAATTCTAAAGCAATCTGAGAGAATTTTCAAAGGATCAGAGGAATCGAAGGCATCAGAAGCAATCCCCACGTGTGGATTGCCAACTCCAGGCCACAACTACTTTCGACCTCCCATCATCCTCTTGCAGTTCTCGACCTTGCCTACAACTCTAGAATCTTACACCAGCAAAACTGCCAAGGTGTGTGAGGTCAGTTCTCTGGAATCATGTTATTCTCACAGTTTTAAGGAACCAAACAGGCCATGATAATTGAACGTATGACACGTGCCATACGTCGATCTGCTGCTGACCCCAGTGTGTCCTGTGAAAACAGGTAAATGCAATAAGCGTTTGTTCTGAGGTATAGGAGAAAAATGTATCACAATGAGTATGAAACCGCAACCATCAAATCTCAAGTTCCTTGTCAGCAATCAGCTCATTCAGGACAGAAGTAGCAATGTGCAATAGCCCATCCCAGCTCAAGCGCACGTAGCCGTCCATCGAGCTCACCAAACCATCGGCATAAAGGTACCTGGAGCAAACTCCAATGCCCAGTGAACGAAGGCATGAGGGGCCCCAGCGGTCCCAGGGGCACCCCAAATTTGGAAAGGTGATAGATGAAGCTCCGGCAACTGCAGCGTCCTCGGACCAATTCAATAGTTCATCGTGTTTCCCGCCTGTGCTGGCACCCTACGAATGAGAAGCTCAGCAAAGTAGCTCTGTGGAAACTGGCTTGGCACCCGGCACATTGACCAGCAACAATGGCTGAAGCTCCCTGCACCACCGCAACCAAAGCCGAAGAGCAAGCCGAGTTCACCTCACAAACAACACAACGACAAAACTTCCAGGAACGGGTCTGTCAACTTGATCCCTGGAGGCATGAGGCAGGTCTCCTGGCCGCCAGTGTACGGCCTTATTTGACTTTGTGCCTTCCCTCCATATAGTATTCGGAAGGCGAGGTCAGACCTATGGCTTTGCTTCTAGCGATGCCCACACAGGTCAAACGCTCCGCGATGCCCACACAGTCTTCGCATCTCCGTGAAACACCATTGCAAGCTGTATGTTCAGCTTCAAGCCCACAACCACCACCACAGCAAACAGCAAGTTGAGGACACCACGTTCATTGAAGGTCCAGTGAAATCCAAAAGGTATGAGACGCGTGTCGCAATGTAGTCCTCTAAGGGCTTGCAGGCGTTGGGAAGATCCTGGACCTCTCTGAGAAAGACTACTGCCACACGTTTTCGAACAGAACAAATCCACATTAGTTTGTCACAAAGCTCAGCCAACACAAACAGATCAGTTGACGTCAGAGTCGATCCCAGTGGGTCCGGTTGACATGCTTGACTGTGGGTTGTCCGCTTGTTGACACTTGCTGTCACCTTTTTGGACCTGGGTAGCACTGAACCAAGCACAGCCCAGCCGCCAAACCCTCCCTAAACTCGCTGGCTCCTTCTCGTTGCCAATCTCCGTGAGGAAAATGTCTTGCGGATTCAGAGTGTCCTCACAGGTGCATCAGGCCTAACTTGCTCAACGTTGAAAGGACCAGATGAAGTGCGGTCCTAGAGCGAAATATTCAGGAAGCCAAAATCAAAGATCTAAGTATCTGTCAAGTTGCCCGTTGACTTCGAAGCAACTGTCAATTGGTCAAAACTAGATGTACGTATGTGCATATATATATATATGAATATATATATATATACATACTAACATAGATGCATGTTCTTTCCTGCTTGGAAGGCTACAGTGTGCGACTCCGGCTCACGTACTTACTGGGCGATCGTGGCTTTGCGGTTCTATACCCCAACCTTGAGCGATTGGCCGTCCAAATGGTGCACCAAGTAGCCTGAGCCCGAGCAAGAGCACTTCTGCATCTGCTTTGTACTTTTTGCAAATGGGTCCAGTCCCCCTGCTGCAAACAGCGGAAAAAATTTCATCAATGACATGTTGAAGTAGAATTTGCAAATTTGTGTGTATATGTAAAGCGAAGAAGCGAAGCTCCATGGTGCAACGCTCCGGTTCTCACGCTCCAGAGCGGGGGTTGAAGGAATCATGCATTGCTGGTCGGGTCATTTTGTCGGGGCCTGGAGAAAAAGCTAAAGTCGAAAGCAGAGGTGGTGGAAAGGCCACAGAACTGTCAAGCTTGATTCGCTAGCTCTAGCGGCACATTTCCTACCATATACTTGCAACCTCCCTAGTGTCATAGCCCTGACTGCTTTCATAGAAGCGCAATCCCTCCTATTGGCACTAGATTGGATGCAAAAATTCTGGTCCTTGCCCATTGCCCACCATTGTCCAAGAAACCATCAATGCCAGCCGCGGCGAAGACACCGACAACTTCATCGAGCAAGGGTGTCTTTGGCCTCAAGACAAATTCACTGTGAACAAACTTGGATGCAAAGAGCAATCATATCAATAGCAAAATATGATTGAAGACTCATATATGATTGCAAATACGACCGCTGTATACACATTTTTTGCAATCATATCATATCAATAGCACTCATGCCGATAGACTCATTGCAAAATATCTGTGTGTATATATAAGTTATAAGTGGGTTTTTGCATGCCGGTAACCGCTGCGTGTAGCAGGGGAGCAGGAGCTGATAGGTGCTTGGTGTTCTGCAATGTGTCCTTTCAATCAATCAGTGTATATATCACAGTTGGATTGTTGTGGAGAGTGGAGAGTTGTTGAGGGGTCTTTTTGAATTGTTTTGGAGGGTTGTTGAGAAGTTGTCTAATTGCATTCAATGTTCACATGTGTCAAACAAATTCTACATTCACGTTGCAAGCTCAGCTCGGACGTGCGGATAGTTTGATCTATTGCCCCTGAGAAAAAATTATGGAGGGTTTAAGCTGCTTTACATTTACATGCTTCAGGCATCAAAGCAATGATTGGAGAAACATGGTGGCACTGAAGGTTGACGCATTAACCAATTCCAATGAGATTCATAGATGATTTGTTGGGTTGCATGAAATCTTGATAGCTACATTGCAACATCATGGTTGGAAATTGGGCACCAGCTCCAAACATGTAAACATCAACACTGACATGAGGTTCAGTGCATTGCAAACACCATTAATGACCTACCAACAATACCCTCGCATAGTCGCATAGGGTTGGAAATACACACTGCAGAATTCCCAATTCAATAAACCATTGCAATACAGGAAACATACCAGTCCTGAACGGCACAAATTGACATATACACTGAGGTCCAGTCGGCAAAGCAGCGTTCTCCATGGCAGACCATGCTTCTTGAATGAAAACACGATGCCTCACAGTTAGAGCAATAGTGTCTCGGAGTAAAAACGGCCGAAGGGAAATACAATGTTTTTGCTGGTTTGTCCGAGTGCCAGGCGTGGTTGCAAACAAGATTTTCTGCGGTTTCGACAAAATTACAAATCGTTGGCGAAAGGAAAAGAAGCCTTATACTTGCAAAGACACATGTGGTGGGCCACACGTCAAGGCAAATCTTGTCATACAGAAACATCCGCACTCTAGTTGTTTAATGTTACCTTTTGGTTTGTTCCACCAAGCAACGGGACTCAACATCGCCCTGCACAACACAAAGTTTTGAGGATCTCCACCTGTATGCGCCACTAGACTTGAATATGCACTACTCACTACGACATGGAAGAGCATCTCACTTGTTAAATTTGTCTCAAAGGCTTTGTTGCTAGACATATTTCGGGATGTCTGCTCACCACTTCAAACCTCTTCAACAACTAGGCGTGGGACTGTGGATCCATCATCGAAGCCTGTCAAAGCCACTGCCCCAAGGAGGCAAAGAACAAGCACATTGATGGAAAGTAGGGTGGAAAAACAACATGAAGCCGACACTGGGCTCGTGAAGTTCCAACTAAAAGTTCAATCTAGCATTGTCACCCGAGTCCGAGTCCTGGTTTGGCCGGTGCTCTTTGTCCATCTTGCGCATACCCGTTCAAGGCATGGCGAAACCCGCGTCTTTATGGGCGGAGCGAGTCAGCAAGCTCGCCACACCCGCTGTGGCAAGCCAATGGTATGGCCAGCTTTGCTTTCGAGGACGGCACTTTTGAGCATCAAACGTAGGCAGCCCGAGGCGCTTCAATGCCGAGGCGCTTAAGATGTATCATAGCTGTCGAGGATGGGCGCGAAAAACGTTGGTCCAATGCGTTCGGTCCGCACGGCACTTCGACAGCGGCTGCGTTGGCACTCACGCGCCGAAAGCTGTGAGACCGGGCTACGGCACTGCCATGCAAGCATTCGACTGCGGTATCGACTGGTCAGACTTCAAGCCGGAACTCTTTTGTTGGACGTGCGTCACTGGACCCTCTGTGGCACGTACTGCGGTATCGACAACCTCGTCGAAGGGGAGGACAGTTCGGTGGCCCTTCGGTGGCGCCGTGATGCGCCCGCGCCCATTGATTTCGGACGCGGACGGCCGCTGGTCTTTCTTGGATCTTTTTGTCCTCCCCTTGTTGGGGCGCAGCTTCAAAAAGGGCGCGGAGCTAGTCATAAGGATTCTGAAACAGCTTACGTTTGGTACTGGCGCACGCCAGTCCGAGGGCTCTCCGTCATCCAGATGCTGTCTCAAGTCTCAGTCTCGCTAAAACATCTCACAGCGTCGACAGCTAGTAGCGATGCACTTGTTACTAGTAGCTTCTAGTATAGGAAACCAGAAGCTGTGCTGGATTGGGCATGCGGGCGCTAATCTACACGCAAAAAGACCAAGAGAGCGAGTGCTCGATCTCTCGTGGCGTCCGTGTCGACACGCGGCAAGGCAACAATACACGTGCTGTCTCGCAATGGCTCACTGAACTTGGAACTTCTTTGACATTCACTGCAAGCTCTGTCAGCAAGAGCATGGCTCACTGAAAAGAAACCCTTTGACCCTCATACTGGCCTAACTTTGTACAGTAGGTTGCAAATACTCGCCCACAGCTCCACAACTTTCCCAAGTCGGGGCTCCATGATGGCTCCACGAAGGTTCTTGGGGCTCATGTGGAGGACTGGCTCAGCAATCACGCAAACCAACACTGGATTCCTAGGGCACACAACCCTTTATAATATGCCTATATAGGTTACCCCTAACCCTCGGCTCTTTGGGCAGAGCTAGTCAGCTACTCGCCAAACATCCTACTGCTGTAGGTTTTTTCCTTAGCAATCTTTTTTTGGATCTTTGCAGTTTCCTGAGTCAACACACTAGATCCTGAAAACCCTGTAGATAATAAATAGTTAGGAGAGCACCAAAATGAATGAGGCAAAACGCCGTTGCTGGCTCTCGCCTCATGCCGACCAATTCCAAAAAAGACATTGTCAAACTGGTCAGCATCGTTGATCATATAGGCGGCAGGCCTAAAGGCAATGACTCCTCTACTACTCAGTAGTCCTTTTACAGCGAAGATTGACAGCAATTAATCAGTTTTTCATTGTGAATCTCGATACAAGAATCAAAACCATGAACTTCTAAATCAACTAATGCCATTGGGTGTGCATATACATTTTCAATCTGTCCCAAGTCTAGATTAATCTTCCTTATTATGTTCGCAATCCTTTCTTTGCTCCAAACCCAGAGTCTGAGGCTGTGACACGAAGTCTTTGTGTCCCAGGGTTGTTTCAGGAACACCTTTGCCTGCTCATCACAAAAACCCGGGACTTGACCTGTTGAGCAAACAGCAAGTGCCACTGCATGTGAAAGAATATGTTATATATATATATAAGTTTGCGAGGACGTTGTTTCAGGTGATTATGTGACACCATCAAGTGCACACTGCTCAAGTGGACATAGGTGTGTTTCTGCATGTCCGTGCATGTGAGGCCGTGTGTGCGCGTGCATGTGCATGTGTGTGTGTGTCCCATCCTGTATCTAAGGGACTCTCGACTTTTCCAATTGAATGCAGGGGGCTCACGGGTCTGTTCCTGGCGTGAGCCAACGAAGCTCCAGGTTCAGACTAGGATATCGAGAGGGGACGCTCTCTCGACGTACCTGCACTTTTTTGAGCTGTTGATAACGCTGTGACCCCAATTCTCCCCACACCACCACTGAGCCACGGCTTTTCAGCCGCTGATCGATCGCTGCTTGCCGCCGATTTTTCTGCATTGTAACCCATTGTTCAAACACCTTCACATCGACTGACCCAGCCTTTCCGTTTGCATTAGAGTCAAGTGTCGTGCAACCGTGGATTATCTTACTGAATGAACCTTGTCGAAGTGTGTGCCAATCCCTGCAGGCTAACTCTTCTCCAGGGACATGTCAGCAATAAAATACATAGGGCAAGGTCACTTCAAACGTGCTGCTGTACAAGGAAGGCACATGCACACTCCAACTGGGGTTGGGGCCTTTAGTGTGAGAGCTCATGTGGATCTTGAAGGAACTGCATGTTTGAGAAGAATGCATCTTCAAAGAATTGCTTCTTCGACATCCAGCTGATCACCCTCACTGTTGGTGGCACAAGACACAAGGCTGCTGGCAATTGAGGTTCAAAATTGTGCTCTCTTATGATACGTCATTAGACGAGTTGCATTCTGAGCAGTTCCACCCAATCTCACAAAGTGTGGGCTCTTGTTCCAAATATAGATATAAAGAAACAAATTGTGAAAAAAAATGAAAAGAAACAAATTGTGAAAAGCCCTTTTTCATAAAACCCCATCAGGAATCAGGAGACCCTATTTGTACCTTTTTTCCCTAATAATTCCTTTGCTTCTTCAACTGTTGTGCTGTAATGTCATAAGTTCATTGGCATTGGTTCTCGGCATTTGTGCTCCGGGTTGCAAGCGTGGTGCATCTAGAGAGAGTTTTTGGCTTCCCTAGTGATCCTAGTGTCTCCTTCGTGTCAGGAGAATTTGTGAAACTGAGCTGGCTTGGGCCCTTGCTTGGGACATCGCACTTGCAAGTAGGAGATGGTGTGCTCACCTTTTCAAAGCACTCCACCTATCTGCACATATATATATATATGCATACATACAGTATATGTCCATACAAAGGAGAAAAACAATCAAATGACTGTTGCAAGTTGTGGATGTTGAATACAGGGGCCTCATTGCCAAGGCTGGTCTGCACCAAAAGCGCAGTTGGATCACTTTGTTAAGGAAGGAGGCAAATGATCTTGCAAGGTATGTTCTGATAAAGGGCGTGGTACTCACCGCGCTTTTGAACGTTGTGTGGTTTCAAGCCCAAGTGAGCCTCAATCAAACAACTTGTTTCTATGGTGCTGAAGAACGTGGAAGCCGGCTAAAGCACGTAGCTAATCAAGGATGTCACGGTGTACAGAAAAGTCTTCCAAAAAGACTCATGTGTTATGTAGATACCTTGGCGGTAGGTTTGATCAACCCAGGTCATGACAATTTCTGTGCCTAACACCTATTAGCCTTGCTACACCTATTCTATGCCATTGTATTCAAAAAGTGCTACACCTGGTTGTCATTTGCCTCGTAAGAACTCCTTGGACAAAAAGGTCACGGATACTGCTGACCTGGAGCAAGCCAGAGGACGAAAAGCCCGTGAGATAGTAGAAGGAAGTTTCATATCGGGTTTGCCTGCGTGTGTAATTTGATCTTGAATGTTGCTGGCAAACACTGAAGCAAGAAGGTAGCTGAGCGGAAGCTGGGTCTTGTGGGGAGTCCAGCAGGATAACGAAGCTAACAGTTCCAAAGCTTTGTACCCTGGGTCCTTGTCCCAAGGTCTACTTTGGCCCGAAGCACTTAGACTTGGCTTAGACATGCGTTTATTCTTTGATAGGTCCCTCCCAGCCATCCGTGGGGTAATCCTCAAACGTTCAATCCAATGCAGCTGCACGAGCATACGGTAAAGTTCGGCCTGAGGATGTTCTCCCAAAAGTGATCCACAGAGTCAGCACCTAGGCAGCTGAGCAAAGCTGGGCAAAGCTCAGCAATACGTACGGAAGAGAAACATAGAGAAACACTGTGTTTGGGTTCTTGACGTTCCTGCCAGTCCTCGAAAAATTGAAGAGCCCCCCGTGGCAAATCCGAAACTCATCCACTGGTTGAGGTTCTATCTTGGGCAAGACTCCCATCAGCATTGAAAGTAAGTAATGTTGACATAGAGTTAAGTAACCTTCCAATATTGATCAGGCCCAGCCCGAGCCCCCAATAATAAACTAATCTCACACGTAAATTTCCACATTGGCATCACCTAATTAAAATCGTCCCGTGGCAAACGACTCCCCCTATCAAGCCCATCTGCACCCAGAAAAGAAAAATAACATATATAGTTCATTAGTATATATATATATATATTGTTTAAAGCTGCAATCTAAGCTACCAGTGTTCTCCCAAGCAACCTTTGTTCCACAATCCCCAGAAACTCTCTAGCAAAAAACTATGGCATTTTCCCTTATTAAAACATGATCAAAATCTTCAGGTTTCCAAGCTCACAAAGGGAATCCCATCAATCATCATTTTCAGGCCATTATCTTTGTTAGGGGGATCTGGTCTCCAATACCTCCAATCTCAAACATTGTTGACCTTGTTGACCTTGAAGGGGGCGCCCTTTGATTAATCCTACCTCGACAATAGCTCAAAGAAGAAGAGATGAAAAACAATTGGTAAGGGCCCCTTTAATAAGGCCTTACCTTCAACAAGGCCTCCGTTAAAGGGGCCTTATTAAAGGAGCGCTTACCTCCGTATGCGACGTCTGCAGCTTCTCTTTGTTCTTGTTAATAGCCTTTTTGTTTTCAAGTCGTCTTGAAGCAGCAAATGCTGCAGACCTAAGACCTCCTAACTGTGTTGCCTACGAATTCGCCGATTGATTGCAAAGTGCCTTGAAAGAGTGCCATTGCCCTGAAGCAATGTGCTGCTTCGTTCCTGATCCTGTATTCTTTCCAACTCCAACTCCAAGCAGCAAGTATTCTTTCTTCAGGGTTGCACCAAGTATATTTTCTTGTGAAATGTCTTGCTGCGTTCCGGAAACACCGGAATTCCACTTCCCACCGTTAGACCTGCCTGGGAATTTCCCAGAAAAGCCTGCGATGGACAGCTTGGGAGCCTCCGTGGCTTCGCACCACTTTGTCCAAGAAGGGGATGCGACAGTTTCTGCATCAAACCATCTTCAAGGATCCTAGGTTGATAGAGAAAGGGAATGTGAAAAATACTTTAAAGGGCAGGAATATCAAAAGGTATCGTCAGAAGATTCTAGAGTGAGTCAGAGAGTGCAAAGGATCCTGACGCAAGCACCAGAAGCTCTCCCAAGTGCCAACCTCTCGAGGTGGATCATGATATCCTCAAGAAAGGTCAGTCAATTCACTTTGGCTGGAGGCCATCGCTATTAGGCTGGAGGCCATCGCTGTTAGGTTGGAGGCCCTGGTGGCCAACGTTACTAGGTTGGAGGGCATCGCTCTTAGGTTGGAGGCCATCGCATGTGTTGAATTTGTTGCTAAAGCAACGGCAAAGCCACGAAAGTGCCGTTGGTGTGGCTTACCCTTCAGCCAGTTGTCATTCTTCTTTGGTGGGTGTGGCAAGAAAACACAGTAGACCTGCTAAAAGTTGGTCCATCAATCTTTTTAGGAGGGATGTCTGTTGATCAACAAACATGGTCTTCGTTGCGTTTGTCCGATTTGACAAGCGCAAAAATTGCCTTCGCAGTGTTTGCATGCAAATGATGCATAAATGAGTTGAGTTTTGCCAGCAATCTGTACAGTACATAAACATGAGTCAACCCAAGAAACACTGCCGAGTCACTTATGGAGCGTGGAGAGAGGATTGCACTACCTAGGCCAGTTGCAATCAGCTCAACAACGGCGACCCTGAGCTTCATGAATCAAGCAAATGAGGATACAACTGTCAGGATTCTGTGCCACTGCATATTCACCCTATAGAACTCACTCTCGCAGCACGAGTATCAAGAAATAAACCAAAAAAGAACAACCCTACTCATCCATACTCATCCAAGGGCTTGTCCCACCAACAGTGCCTTAAGAGTCTTGATTCAATTAGCAATTAGTGTCCCAGGGAGTGCTGGTATAAACTTGAGGCCAGGAAAGTGGTGGCAAAAGCACGTCTCCGTGCAATCCTGGTTCAACGAAACAACGATGCCTGGCTGCAACGGCCAGCTGGGGGAGTCTAGTGAAAGATCACTGTGTTGGCCAAAGGCCAGCAAATACCATTGCAAACTTAGCCATTCCATCGGGGGGCATTCTCTTTCCCCTGGAGGTGTAAAAGTGCAATGCGTCGGCAGCACTCTAATTCCCACCTGCTTCCAACTCCACTTTGGACTCCACAAAGTCGCAGAGCGCCTACCCGATGATGGGAAACATCCCAAACACAAAGCATTGTGCCAAAAAGAAAGTGATGCGGTTGGGAGAACCGCTAAACAGTCCAAATTGATAAAGAAACTGCTAATGAGTGCGTGAGAGAGGAAGGACCTCATTGGCCAACTGCTGGGATTTCTGAGTCGTGACCACATCCCAAAGTGCTTAAGAACACAAATTCACTCCCGTCCTGTAAGGTGGAGTGGCTGTAAATGTCCAACACCTCTTCGCAGGAAAAATGTCTCTCCACATCCTACTTAGTCTCTAGCACTGGAAGGCGAGACCGCTTCATGGAAAGGATAATGTGCATGCATATCCATATTTCATCATATTTCCATGGAAACTGGTGTGCGTATTTTTCCCATGGTTGATTTCATTGAAGCTCCTTTACTGAGGAATTTAGTTTGAATCTAATTATATAACGGGTGCGTGGCAGGACACACTTGGCTTCAGGCAGTCACGGGCAAGGTGTACTCACCCGAGAGTTCCGCTGCCATCTTAGCAGCCAATGCAGAATGTCCACCCAAATCGAAGAAGTTCTCCTCACACACACACACACGAGGGCCATGAACGGCCTAGTACAAACTTCTTGAGGGCCCGTTCACGCATTCTCGTTGGATGGCAGGTTCGTTCACAAGGTTAAACAGTCACTTTATCAGTTTACCTCCTATCTCGATTGACATCTTTAGGCAAACGACACTTGCACTGTGCAGTTCTACTCATGACACCATCTGGCCCAAATATCAGTGGCTACTGCGGCTACTACTTGTTGCTTGCACGAAAGGGTCTTTATTATTGTAGTATTCTGTGTGTCGAGAACTTCTTCTCTCCTCCTCCTCCACCTCCTCCTCCACCTCCTGCGACCTGCTCCTCCTGCTCCTCCTGCTCCTCCACCTCCTCCTCCTCCTCCACCTCCTCCACCTCCTCCACCTCCTCCTGCTCCTCCTCCTCCTCCACCTCCTCCTCCTCCTTCCACCTCCTCCTCCTCCACCTCCACCTCCACTTCCACCTCCACCTCCTCCTCCTCCTCCTTCTCCTCCTCCTCCTCCTCTTCCTTGTCCTCCTCCTCCTCCTCCTCTTCCTCTTCCTCGTCCTCGTCCTCGTCCTCTTCCTCGTCCTCTTCCTCGTCCTCTTCCTTGTCCTCCTCCTCCTCGTCCTCCTCCTCCTTGTCCTCCTCCTCCTCCTCTTCCTTGTCCTCCTCCTCCTCCTCCTCTTCCT